CCAATGAAAAATACTTGGAAATAAATGACTTTTGAAAAGTATGGTAAAATGACAGAAGTCTTTACGTTCTTCACATCCTGACACACATAGTAAAGCCGTTCCAGAAGGTATCCCAACCCCGGTGGTCCCTTTTCTCGATAGAAACCCAGGGCTAAATTGAAGGGTACCCCCACCCTATGACTCCTGGGTAGGATCTTCCAGTGTATCCTGCCTCTTTTTTTCTTAGGAAGACTTATTCCATTTCCCGGAAGCTTGGTGGAATTGGATTGCCCCCTTATCATTTCAGTGTTTAAAAAATGTTTATAAACACATGTCTCTTTCCCCATCATTTGCTCCCTGTTTTATTGTTTTAGTCTGCTTTGTTTCTAAACTTTGTTAAACATCCTTGAAATCTTGCCAAAGTAAAATGGCGGTAAATCAAAGCAATGCATTTCTTTGTTCTGTTTTATCAAATCAAGATAGATAGATAGATAGATAGAGAGAGAGAGAGAGAGAGAGAGAGAGAGAGAGAGAGAGAGAGAGAGAGAGAACTCCATTCAATCTTCATTGCCTGGAGAAAAATGTTTTTAGAAAGGCCTCTAACAGCAATATAGGTATTTAAATTAAGATTGAATTAACTGGGGAGGGGAGGAGAGAGTTATGATCTTTCAAATAGCAGGCACTTCTAGCATACACATTTCAGTAGAACAGTAGGGATAAATGGAACAATTCAAATGCTGTATTTTCTATGTAGTTTTGTCTGCACCATTGCGGTCTTCTTGAATGCAACATACAAGTGAAGGTCCACAAGGATTTGAGGAAACTCCTCCTTTATTCTATGTATATTAAGTGCCAATATTTATTAAAAGGTTGACAGGATTTAAGACAGGCCTGACAGCTTGGAATTCCCAGGTCCACTTCTGTATCATTCATGTGCAACATACATAGATCATACCTCTGTCAGGTATGATCTATGGATGGTTGCTTTCGTTTCATGGGCAGATCACCGGGTTAAAAGTAGGCCACTTTATCTTTAGTTCATCAGTGAAATCCTGTATATAATAGTATAATAATTAATCACTCCTCAATTTATTTTAAAAACATCATAAACCCCTTAATGTTTGCTATGCTCTTACTTCAGTAAATATGCCAGCAACCTGTTGAGACGGTTGAAATAAAAAGAAACTGTGTGTGAGCTGATTTCTACAGAAGATTAATGGTATGAAACCACTTAGATTGGCCAGGTTAATCCCATAATGGCACATCATGAAGAATTTCTGTTTGCCTGTATAATCCACAAGCGGAATCAAGTACTGAAAACCAGCATTTCTAAAATGTTCATGAGGACTATGATTAAGCAATTTATTGATAGAAGCTCTTTAATTCTGCAGCTCCATCAAAGAGAATAACAAAAGTCAGTCTGCAAATAATGGTATGCTTTAAATGGATGGGGGGTTTTTTTTGGTGAAAAGAGTTATTTTCTTCAAATGCTCTTCAAAAGACATTTCCCAATCTTATTTTAGGACAGAAAAAGAAAGAGTGTGTATATGTATACCATGCTGGAAGGTAAATAACTACTATTTAAAATGACAGTCGTTCTAGGTTCTAAGGGAATTTCACATGAGAGGATTTATGGGTATCTGATTATTTGAAACTCTATGGTCTCGCACAATCTACATCTGCCTTCATTTATGCTCTCCAGTTATTTTTAGGACTAGAACTACAATTCCCAGTATCTCATTGGTCAAGCTGCTTGGTAATTGAGAATTTAAGTCCCTTTTAAGGGTACCTGTTTGGGGAAGGTTATTCTAAAATTTAGGAATTACTGACATAGTTAAACTAATCTGCACAGAGGTCCTGTGATCTTTGAATTTCTAGAAGTATCTATTTTACTTGGAATGTGAGACATGAATAGCGAGTAAGAACATAACAATTTATTAGACTCCAATATTTACCATATAAGAGAAAACAAAATAGAAAATAGAGTCCTAGCTGGCATTCTTTTTTCCACAGCTGTTTAATTCCCACCACAGCACCACCCTCTTTCAAAAAAGAGTTCATGACCGGCTCCAAACATATATTATAGTTATAATATGCTGACATCTCAAAAGAACTGGCAGACATAATCATGTATAAACCAGAAAGATGCATGCTAATAAAATTGTAGTGAGTCACACCTGGAATACTGCAACCAATTTTGGTCATATCACAAAAAAAGATGTTGAGACCTTGGAAAAAAAGTTCAGAGAAGAGCAACCAAGATGATCCAAGGCCTGGAGACTAAAACATATGAAGAACGGCTGCAGGACTTGAGTTTGGCTAGTCTAAAGAAAAGAAGAATCAGGAGTGACATGAGAGCATCATTCCAGTATTTGAGGGGCTGCCACAAAGAAGAGGGGGTCAAATTATTCTCCAAAGCACCAGGGGGCAGGACAAGAAACAATGGTTGGAAACTGACTAAAGAGAGAAGCAACCTGAAATTAAGGAGAAACTTCCTAACAGTGAGGACAATTAACCAGTGGAACAGCTTACCCCCCAGAAATCGTGGGCGCTCCATCACTGGTGGTCTTTAAGCAGAGACTGGACAGTCACTTGTCTGAGATGGTATAGGTTCTCCTGCTTGAGCAGGGGGCTGGACTAGAAGACCTCCAAGGTCTCTTCCAGCTATATTCTATTCATTCTAATTAACATTATTTATATCCATATAATTTTTAAAATTATTTAGAAACAATGTTAATGAATAAAATGCATTTAGTTACAATTTGAAGATAAAATCTAGACCAAAATATGTAAGATAGACTTGAGATCTTTTATTTCTTTATTTTTTACTTATTTCTTAAACAAATTTCATTACTACCCATCTGTCAGAGTGATCTCTTGGTAGCAAACAAAATAAAAACACAATACAATAAATAGGCTACTTAAAATAATAAACAGTAAACAATACTGAGGTCCCAGTAAAACTTATATTCATCAACCAATCAAATGAATCCACCAGAATCTATATCAACAATCTATATGCAAATTTATAGAATCATAGGGCTGAAAGGGACCTTGGAGGTCTTCTAGTCCTAACCCCTGAGCAAGGCAGGAGTCTGCTAACAGGTCTCTCCCACGTCTTCTTTTCATTAGGCTAAGCATAACTAGTTCTCTTAGTTGTTCATCGTATAATTTAGCCTCGAGTTATTCAAGCAAACTTAATTAATAAAGCATCAACACTGTGAAAATATCAGCATCTCTCTCCATCCCATCATGGCATCCCTACAGGCTATGCTTGCACATCACCCAGTCATAATCTAGCCTGCAAAAGTCAGACGAACCACTAGATGGTGGCAAAGAGATGCTGAAAACACTCTTGGCCGCCATCTTGTGATTTCATTGGGTCATATACAGTAGCCTTAATATAATCTGATTTGTTTGACTTTAGTGTGTTGTACACAGCCCATCAGTTGTAACTTACTCTGCTAACTTAGATGCTATCTTTTCCAAATCCCATCTTCTGGCATGCTTAACTGGTCCCTGATATCTTAAAGAAATATTATGTTTTCAAAAACAAAGTGGAAGGTAAGTGAAGGATAGAGCAAAAATGAAGAGGTGGAGAGACGTTTTGTTCAAAGCAGGCATGGGATCTAGGTAGAGACCAGTCAGCTGATTAACATTCCAGACCTTTTTCCCCAGTCTATAAGATATCCAGCTGACTTTATTCTACACTCAGATCTGTTTCTTCTTCCTTGCCCTGGTTTTTAATAAATTTCCCTCCCCCTTCTCTCTTCTACCTCTATATTTTTCTCCTGCCTATCTTTTTATAATCTTTTCCCCCAATTGTCTTCTTGTCCTTCTTTATCTTTTTGGTCTCTTAACCTCATTTTTTTGGAAAATATGAACTTTCTTTACACTGTTCAGTGAAAAGTTTATATATCGTTGTCTGACTTTGACCATTAAATATATGCTTGTTCCTTGTTTTTCTCTCGCTTTTTACTTCAGTATCCTGCACAGGACTGGGTAAGTACAGTTGGTTCCATTGAAAAGTACTCTGATCTAAAGGTTGTAATACATAGATTAGCAAAAAGCAAACTTAAATACTTGCATAAAACTAGTCTATTTTGTTGGATTATTGGAGCCAATGAGTGACATGGTATTTCCAAAATCTCCTTGCACTGTGATAAGCAAGTACATATGAACAAGCCTGGCTAAAAATGATGTGGAAATGAGGTCCAATTTATTTAAATGACATTAGTTGAGTCAGGAAGTTATAGGAATTAAGAGGCAAACAGTTTTTATAAAGTATAATTATGAAGATAGTGGACAGGACCTGAAAGAGCCTACTCTTAACCCTGAAAAGCCACTAAGTAACTCCTCAGATCAATTAGCTGTTGAGGCAAATTGAAGGAAAGAACATTATGTATACTGGCTTGAGAACATAATGTACATTGGCTTTGGTTGTACGTGAAAGATGGGATAAAACTTGGGCTATAATTCCTGAGGCCCCTGGCAGAAGCAGATTATCTAGATGTGTTTCAGTCAAAGTTCAGGCTGGGATTAAATATGAGATAGCGTTAGTAGTTCTGGGTGCCATCCATTAAAGTGTCATCTTACAGGACCTAGGTCATGGTTCCTGTCTGTGGAATGATTTGAAATGTTTCTACCCTTTGACTTTTGGTAAACTTCCTAAGATCTCATTGTTGTTCTAGGTTCTGAACTAGGATAGGCAGTGGCTGCTTGGCTTTAGGGCAGGGGTCTTCAAACTTGGCCCTTTTATGACTTGTGGACTTCAACTCCCAAGGCTGGCTGAGGAATTCTGGGAGTTGAAGTCCACAAGTCATAAAAGCCAAGTTTGAAGACCCCTGCTTTAGGGGTTTGTTTTCTAATCAGCTGTCTTTTTCTCCTCAATATTTTTTTTAATCCGTAAGACCCCCTGATTTGCTATGCAATTGGGTAAGCTCAAAACTAAAACAAACAAACAAATAAATAAAATTAGAAAAATACTGGATTTCTATTTTACAGTGAACTCTATCAGAATTCTAAGGCCCAGTTTCTCAAAGCATGAAGAGAATAACAGCAATTGCACTGGTCTTTGGTAAGTGCCCAAATGCATCCTATTTTTTTTAATCTCTGCTTTATTTGTTATCCCACAGTTTTAGATAAGATTAAATCAATGTGCTCAATACATGCAGATAAATCAAACAATCTCTGAAAATTTGTAATTAAAGTAGTAAGACCAGAAAATGTGAAAATCAAACATAAAAAACCGGAGACAATGACAACATTAATAGAAAATCTTATTTCACTTAGAGAATTTTTAATTTTATGAGAGACAGTATTGTTGTACATTTTCTTTACACTTGTCTATTGTATCATAGTTTTGCTGCTGACTTGTATATATGCTACTAAAGAAACTACAAAGAGGAACAGGAAATCTAAACAATGTAAGTAGACAAAACATGATGTAAATGGTTGATTCCTAAAATTTCAATTTAAACTCTCCTTCATATCTTTTGAGAAAGTTATTGGAAAACTGGCTCCAAGAATACACATTCTGTACAAATGATGTAGCCTCCAATATCTTCCCTTAAAAATAATCATAATTCTCAGCTAAACTATTCCCACTTAAAATGTTTCTCACCCCAGACGCTGCATGCTACATTTGTTTCCAATGCATCATTTATTCTGAAACTCTTTTGGTGTGCCAGATGCTTCTTGTTGTTCCCTTCAGAATAAACAATATTATTTCAGGTTCAGGAAAGATGTAATAATTGTGAGCAAACTAAAGACACACAGCAAGATGGCGCTGGCCAAATCTAACCAAATTTAATTTACAACAGCACTATTCTCTGCAGGTAATCCTCAGGCTATGATTATAATTGGGACCAGAATCCTGTTCACTATGCAATTCATTTGTTAAGCTAGTCATCATGTGACTGAACCCAATTTCACAACTTTTATTGCAGTTGTTAAGCAACTGAATCACGTGGTTGTTAAACAAGTCCGACTTCCCCAATTGAGTGTGCTTGCTGGAAAATTTATTGGAACCACAAAGGCTCACAACCCAGTTTATTATTTCTTTATGTTATTTATTCTTGGTAGAATAAAGCCATTACTGATGCAGTGAATATTCAAGGGTCCAACTATTAACAATTATGGCATATAGAACATTTCAATTTGTATGTGAGAGTTGTACATGACAAAGAGCATAAATTAATGAATAAAATGAAAGAAGAAAGAAAAACAGCTGCTAAGAGAAGGAAGATGGAAGAAATGAAAGTGGCCTGATCTTGTGCAGTAAAGTTGATAAATATATGCAAAAACTGATGGTTTAATTAAGAAGCAATGCTAGGCTGGAAGTAAAGCCAAATGTAAAAAATGGAATGTTATTTCTGGCAACTCCTAAACTATCAACACATCTGAAAGAGGAGAGGGTAAAAATCACCTAAACTTTTCTTATCTTTATAAATATCAACATTAAAAAGACCATAAATTACATAGGCTAATTTATATGTCAAATGTCTCTAAATAGTCTACAGGCAATTACTCAACATTCCTATTTGGAATGATGGAGATAGAACTTACCATCTTGGGCATATAGCGATGCAGTCGTAATGCAATGATAGAACATATGCTCTGCATATAAAAAAATCAGAGGGCTCCTTGGTGCTATCTGAGCTTGCTTGTTTTGTTGCAGACATTTCATTACCCTAACTAGGTAGCATCATCAGTGCTAGTAAGGAAAGCTGTTTGCTGTCAGTTTATATTCTGGTGTCTTGCCTGTCTGTGTGGGTGGAGGCAGACTTAGGGATTCTTTGGTTGGGCTGTTTACTAATGACTCTTGTTCAAATATTATTATATGAATGTGACTATTACCTTATTCCACTGAATGTTAAACAATTTGGCACTGGGATGCAAAAGAGAAAACTCGTAGGAGATACCCTGCGATTGAGAGTTTTATTAATTTTCATTTTTAAGGATTAAGGAGTCAATGCTGAATATTTGAGTATTAAAAATCGGCATAAAAGCACACAAATAATAGAGCCAACTCCTAGCATTTCTTTGTTTTCTGCAAAGCTTTTGTGGCAGATTATAGTAAGCATAACATTCAACTTCTATCTTCACAGCTGTTCCACAGATTGAGTGTGCCATCAAAGCTGCAAAGATCATCAACCCAGAATTTATTGCTAAGTGTCCCTTGGGATGTCAGGATGTTAAATATCGGGTCTATGGCACTGATATCTATGCCTCTTTTTCCAGTGTTTGTGCTGCTGCTATTCACAGGTTGGCAGAACTGATCTTTAATTGAAAATAGCATATAAAATCAAAAAGAAAGATAGCATGATCAATACTACCGGTAGCAATAAAAGTAAAAATCAGAACAGGGTGTGTTATTTTTTCCTCATCAAAAATTTTGTGTAACTCTTAAAAGATACAAAAAAATAAGATTAAGAAGTAAAAAGTAGTTTATATAGTCAAATCTATATAAACAATGATTATGAGTAGAGTTCAGGTTAGTGCATCTTAATGTATACTTTGAGGATGGAAAAGCAGGTCTTCTTTAATTCCACTTAATGAGCAAAAGGGAAACTTTGGCAAAATGTTTTAAAGGGTATGGATTTATGAGAAAAATAAACAACTGTAGATTTGAGAAAATTGTGGAGATAAAAATAGATTGATGATATTTTCATTAATTTATACTGGGAAATGGTAATAGATCCTTCCCTCTGGTATATGATTAAGCATAATATTTTGGAAATGCCAAAGTAGAAGTTGATATCTTTTAGGGAACCACAGAACCATTTTCTTACACATTAGGCTTACCTTATCTAAATGTCTACTAATACTTAGAACAGAGAATTTTATTTTGATATATTCTGACAATAGAATTATTCTTAGCCTTAGAATTATCAAGTACCTTTGTCAAATGGATTCAGGATTGCACAGAGGAGTTAATATACAATTCAGTGCACTTGAAAGGTGCACTTGAACCCAGTTCAAGCATTTGTACTCAAGATTTTCTGAGATTTAAGGTACCAGCACTATCTTTTCCCCCAAGGTGTTGACCACTTTAACATTTATTTTTTTAAAAACAATTAATATTGGAATCATGTGGAGGCTGTCTGAAAAATCATATATGCTATGGCACTCCCTGGTTTCAGTGAAGACCTATAGAAGCTTTTGAAGATGACATAATATTCCCATAAAGGAAAGGGCTAGAATCAGCTGTTCCAAATGGACTGAATTTATATGTATTGAGCTTGCAATTCAATGATCACACAGAGCTCTGGTAAGCTAACCATGTACTTATGACATTAATATGTTACTTTTACAGTGGAATTATTGACAACTCTGGAGGAAAAGTCTTAGTTCAAAAAGTTGCTGGTCAATCTGGGTACAAGGGTAGTTTTTCCAATGGAATCCGCTCACTTTCATTACCACGATGGAGAGAATCCTTCATACTTTCAGGTGAATTTCCTCCTTCCTTTCCTCTTCCCCTTTGCAGGGGGTTGGACTAGAAGACCTCCAAGGTCCCTTCCAACTCTGTTATTCTGTAGTCATATCTCAAGCCATCTCTGATTATTATTATTATTATTATTATTATTATTATTATTATTATTATTATTATTATTATTATTATTATTATTATTATTATTATTATTAACAATAATATTGCTATTATTATTATATAATTTAATTCCTTCTGCAATATCTGTGTTATTGAGTTACTAAACATGACTAAAAAGAGTGCAGAATTTTAATCAGAATTGGCAATATGTTCCTCAAAAATAAACAGTTATAGAGATAGGACACACTGCTAGATAATTAACAAAAGTTAATAAGAGGGGGGGGGGGAAATTGGTCCCTAAGCTCAGAAGTAGAAGTAGAACTCAATTGATGAGCACACTAGGACATATGCAAATTCACTGATACAATTTTTCACACTATTGAAATAGTCTGAATAAAATGCAAATGAATACATCCATTCAGATCAATAAGCACCCTCTGCTTAGGGTTTACATAATTAGCATTTTTTAGTCTCCCTTATGACATTTTAGAAAAATTAAGGCCATGAGATCCATTTATTTCATTTCCCAGACAGCATTTAAACTCTTTTCAATACAGCTCTAACCACTACTCTAACCACTACTACCAACAGAATTGGGTATTGTTTTAAGGATTGCAGTATATCTGTATACATATCCTTAATCAAATGCCAAAAGTATTGCATTTAAACTGCTCAGACGTTGCTGAAAGAGCAGAAATCTGTGAGTAAGGAGGGGGAGCGCAAAGGACAAGAGTAGCGGTCCACATAACTAAAAATCAAAAACAGCAGCAGTATATACAGGGCAAGTGCGTCTGAGATTGTGATTTTCTTTCATTTCAGAATGACTGGCTTAGTTCAGTGCAACACTTGTTTTGCAGCTGTCTTTTGTGGTACTCTTTTCAAACTTGGAAACTGTTCTATCGGTAAACAAATCACTAGTCTACAAGGACAGATTACTTATCTAGGGTCAGTAATCTGTGCTCTTCACGCAGAAATTAGGTGTACAGCTCTATTAAGCTACCGCAATATCAGCCCCCTCTACCACAAAGATCCAGCAGGAGAAGGGCAGTATGGACAACCGTGGGATCTGGCAGGGTGAGAGCTGTGAACCATAAACATAAAGTTTTTGCTGTGTCCCTGCATAACAGATACAGAAATAAGAAATAACTACATCTCTATAGAATTAGATCACAACAATGATGAAAACTGCCTTGAATGCATTTGGGTAAATATAAAGGGGGGGAAATGACATTGCCATAGGTGTATACTATAGGCCAACCAACCAAACAGAGGAAATAGATGAACTTTTTGCTAGTCAGTTAACTAAGGTATGTAGGAAGCACATCATAATAGTAATGGGGGACTTTAATTACCCTGATATCAACTGGGAGACAAACTCTGCACCAAGTGGAAGATCAAACAGGTTCCTGCCAAACCTAGCAGACAACTTTGTCTCCCAAAAAGTAGAGAAGGGAACTAGGGAATTAGCCATATTGGACCTGGTGAAGATCGGTATACCTCTCTGCTGCTCTTGTATCACCAGCTCTTTTTCATTGAGGACTATAGCCATTTAACCATAAGTTAGCTCTGGGTTTGAGTTTGAATGATGTGCTAGATCCTGGTGAAGATAAGATAGCTTACAATAAGCCATGATGAGAAACCATAGCATTGGCATAGCATATCATCCATATCTGATCTGTGGCTGGGGCTTTCTTAAGCACATGAATTGGGAACTAAATTAAGATTGTGTATGAGCTCAGTATTCAAGATAAAACATTTCCAAATATTAAGCCTAACCTTGGAGATGAGGAGTGCCTTCCAGATGAGTTTAGCAAATTGAAACAAGCATGTGACTATTTTTAGTTTCCATATTTTAAAACAAAAAAAACCTAGTACAGCAGGCACATTTACTTTTCTTAGCAGTTCCATCAGTAAGTTGTCTCCAGCAAATTGAGTTTTATTTTTGACTCTCTCGTGATAATAACAGATGGCTAAAAGAATATAAAAACATTACGTAGCCACCACTTTGGAAAATAAGAGAAGGTCAATAAAACAGCCACACATATATGTGTATGTATATGTGTATGTAGAAACAGCCATACGTGTATGTGTGTGTATGTATCTGTATATGTATGTGTGTGTATGTGTGTGTATATATGTGTGTCTGTGTATGTACACACATATTTAATTGCAGGGTCAGAAGACATAGAATATATATATATACATTAGAGATATAAAAATCCTTGAACTCTGGGATAAATAAAATCAGCTGTTTATTGTTAAAAGCAACAAAAAATAATAAAAACAACCGTACATAAAAACAAATATCTACTGCCTTAGCTTTCGCCGGTCCTCTGCCAGCGTCATCAGAATAAGCGCTGGAAGCTGGAGAGTCTGCTTATAAGCCTAATCGACTCTGCGCTCTGCTCATCGAGCACGTGATGGGCCTGTCTGCTCTAGTCAACCGTAACAATAAACAGCTGATTTTATTTATCCCAGAGTTTGAGGATTTTTATATCTCTAACGCAGTGGTGGCGAACCTTTTAGAGACCGAGTGCCCAAACTGCAACCCAAAACCCACTTATGCATTGCCGGGTGCCGGGTGGGCGTGGCCACCGAGTGGGCATGGCCACCAAGCTGTCGGCTCGTGCTCACTTGCTCACTTGCTGTCCGCTCCAACTCGTGCTTGCTCTCTCGCTGTCTGCAGCAAATGCTGCTTCTGCCGAAAGTTGCTCCTTTTATAGCCTTTCGCCTATTCCCAGACTGCGCATGCGCGGAGAGGAGGAGGGAGCAGCTCGGCCCAGCAATGGCTCACGTGCCACCAGAGACGGCTCCGTGTGCCACCTGTGGCACGCGTGCCATAGGTCCGCCACCACGGCAACGTAAATATGCCTAGGATTCGCATTTTTAAAATTATTATACACACACACACACACGTGTGTGTGTGTGTGTGGTTGTGTGTGTGTGTGTGTGTCAGATTCTTGGCAATTCTATGGGCCAGGTCTCTACATGTCTTCTGATCCTGCAATTAAATGTGTGTGTATACATATATATGTATGTTTTCTGAGGTTTTCGCGGGTGTTTGTATGTAGGTCTTTAGTTATTCGGGTTTTCTCCCGCGTAGAATTAAAAGTACCTTGGCGACGTTTCGACGAAGTCCACTCTTAGAAGCACGAAGCAGAAGACACCAGCCTGAAGATGACGAATGTGACTTCGTCGAAACGTCGCCAAGGTACTTTTAATTCTACGCGGGAGAAAACCCGAATAACTAAAGACCTACATATATATGTATGTGTGTACTTATACATATATACAAATAACATTTAATATACGTATATATGTGTGTGTGAGTACATACAGACAATGTTTAATTATTTATTAATATCTACAGCTACATATTATATATATGATCAAAATGAACTCTTTCTGGTTCCAGATTAGAGAGTTTTGATGAAAATAATGCAAAGAAACAACATGACTTTCTTGTGAACTTGAGACAGCTGAAAAGTAGGATGTTAAAGCCTTTACCTTTAGTCATTAAGCTCCATAGAGCTACATTTAGTGAGGGAGAATGAGAAAACTAAGTAAAAAAATGCACAAGAAAAGACACATTAACATTCCTAAAATGGTTTCCCCCTTCAATTATTTAAGTTATTTATATAGTTATTAATTTGTGGAAGTATGGGAGAGTATTGACCCAGGGGACCATGTGCTTTTTTTATAGAGTTTTTTATTCTTGTTGGGAGAGGGGTTAAACTTATGTGTAAAACCCAGGGTTCTGGTTACAGTATGGACTGCTTTATAAAACTTTTAAAATAAAAAATAAATAGCTCAATAACAAATATCACAGTATGTGATGAACTGAAAATTTGCATTTTGTAATAAAAAAAAAGACACTGAATGGCAATTTCAGAGACTAAAAGCTTCCAGATCCAAATAGCCTAACAACAACAACATTCTTCTGTAATTAGAGATGCCTTGAGTGGATATCAGATATCACACAGTTCTAGAATGCAGTTAGTATGTTTTTGGTTTAGGCCAAGGTTGCCTACCCCTGATTTAGGGTAATAAATAAACCCAGCCATTTAAAGCTTGTTTGTTTGTTTATTAAAATGTTATGCCGTCCATCTCCCCTTTAAGATAATTCTGAGTGGCTTATGTTATAAAACAAGTAAAAAATAGTTGTTAAAAGATTAACTTTTATTAATAAATATTCTTAATTTTATTAAAACCGAACTAAGAGAGCTAAACACTAGATGGGACTGGGATAATCCACCTCCAGCAGTGAGTGCCCCCCCTTTGAGGCCCCACGTTTTGATACTCTCCGGAAGGTCAAAAGGGAGGGGGCAGTTCTCACCTCCAGTGGCAGAATGTTCCACCGGGATGGGGCCACAGCAGAAAAGGCTCTTCTCCTTGACTTTGCTTGCTTCAATTCCTTAGGGTTATGATCTCATGAATCATGGTGTCTATGAGAAAAGCAAGGTGGAATAATTGCCCCCTTAGGTAAATGGTGTCGGTGGTGTAATTTGTGTCAACCAGACTGTAAATTCATAACTGATATCATGTGTGTGATGACATAATCCTATGTGACATCACTGAATATGAGTACCTAGTTCTTGATATACTTGATATACCTGATGCAGCCCTCAACTCCTTACCTGTTGGCTTAAAATTGTAGGTGCTTTTATATATATTCACTTATTGGAGATTTCGGTTTTGTTTTCTTTAGAAGGCAAACCCAAAAGAGGCGTACAGTATCCATCAATTCTGACCTATTCATCTTCTGAAAGCACAGTTACTAAAGGCAAGTGATGGATTTTCTGCTTGAGGGGGCATTATTGTTTCCCCACATATGTATCTATTTTGTGGTTACTTGGATTAAGAACTTGAGCAGGAGCAGTTTGTAACCATATGCTAATTTATATAAGTCTAGTATTATAAATGTTTCTTTAATGCCCTTTGCTGTATTGATCATTTAATATGGCTTAAGAAGAGATTTTTTTAATTACTATGCCAATCTGTGCCTGGTAATTGAGTAGAGTTCACACCCTGAGAAATAAAATTCAAGGATTTGTGTTGCTCTGCCTCTTCTCATATCTTCCAGCTGCAAATGTAGGGTCAGCCTCTTACTCATCATCAAAGCCTTGATCCAACTCATGTAGCAAAGATACAAGATCTCTTTTCTAGGAATGTGTCTTTAATAATATTGTGGCTTCAAGGACACCCCATGTTAATTTTTGAGGTTAATTTTTTTCCTTATCAAATACAAAGCAAGTCATTTTGTATTTGGAATCTTCTGCTAGCATATCTGTATGCGCCAAGTGTTTGTGATCAACATTTTGTATATGTCATTTTGTGGTTCTTGGTCTTTGCTTGTTGGGATGCTAGAGACCAGGGATTTATTATATCTTTCTAGCTTTGAAACGAATACAGTAAAATTATTGTTTGGATCCCTTCCAATGGTTCCTGCTTTTGGGGTGAGTTTCCACCCCAATCTTCATCACGATGAAACTGTTCTCATTCATTTCTGCAATGCAAGCGTTTGAGCTATTTTTGACATTGTTGTACAACTTTTCTGGGCTGCCTTTTTTTCATCCTAGTGAATATTTTTTAAAATAACTTTTTTTTGACAATTTATCCAACTGATGTCTATGACATCAACTGGATAAAGATCAAGGCTTGTTATAAATCAGAAATGAAGCATTCCAAATTTTGTATTCAAAACTTACATTTTAGCATTACTTTCTTTGAAACCCCCACTAAGCTTGGCCAATAATTGCAGAATTCACTTTTATTAAAAGTGGTTAAAGTGGGGATTTTATGTATCTAACCCATAGTAGCATTTTTTTTCTTTAATCCAATGGCTTGAAATCATATTCCGTATTCCACAAAGGATCTACTTGTCTTGTAGAGTAGGCAAATTTTGGCTCCTCTTGGGTCTTTCTGGGCTTTGTTGGTGCATATCATGAACATTTATTCGGAGGAGATATGACAAGGCAAGTGACAAAACCTGACTTGAAGTTCCCGATACAAAGCCAGGAGCTTGGAAGCAAAAGGACAGCAGTCTCTACTAAGAATCTCTTCTATGTGTCTACAGACACTTCAACAAACAAGGGAGGAGAAGGAGGAGGAAGTGGAGGGATGGAAGGAAGAAAACTAAGGCCCTGCCAGAGAGAGAAAACAGCTAGACTGACTAAAAGCCAGTCTTGAGACAAGAGGGATTTTTATATTCTAAGGATGTTGTCAGAGAATTTTGTGAGGAGAGTTGCCCAAAACGTCAAGATGAGGGTTTTGATTGTACTGGCACTTTGACTCTTAGACCATACTGATGCAGTCAAGCCTACTATACCTGATACCTAAAAATAGGTGAAATTACCTTCATTATGTTAGATTTCTTATAAATTAATTTACATTTTACTTATTTATATTTGGGCCCTCATTAGACTACATATATACACACCTACACATAGTCAGAACATTTGTTATAAATTATTTTGTTTTTACTAAAAAGAGCAATCCTGTCACAAAATACTCTGAAAGCAGAAATGGTCTTTTGCAAATGAAGGTGCTGGTTCTGACCCATCACTGCTGGACTGCTGAGCACAACATCATGAGTTTGGAAGTGCTTATGAGGAACTGCTGACCTCCTCTTAGTTCTAGCTGTTTTTATGTAGATCACATTGTATGTTCAACTACTAGCCACCCCCAACCTACAGCTGAAATCCAACCTAATTATGTTAGCGGGTACACATGGAGGGCAAAGCTATTAAAGAAAGTTTTTTTTTCCAGTGAGATGCTATATTTCAATCTTAATGTAGGAAATTCATTACGGAAAGGGTCTCAGACAACTGCAGCTCCATTACCAGCCACACATGGTGCCGCTCACACATTCAAACGCTTTACCACCACAACCGAATTGGTCAGCACAACTCCAAAGGCAACCACCACTTCAACCACCATTGCACCGATGACCTTCACCAAAGTGACAACTGTTACAGTGGCAAAGCCTCTCGTTGCAGTGCACAAGGTCAGGGATCTGGGTGAGTGAATGAAGAGGAGCTTCACGGACTAGCTGTTTAATAACCCAATTCGATAGGGCAATGGAACAAATTTGCTAGATCTACCTTCTCACCACCATTCTCATCTCATCTCATCTCATCATCTCATTTGTACAAATGTAAAGCAGTGGTCTTCTGATGATTCCACAGAAGATTGTTCAGAATCATGCAAGTCTGATGGTACTGTACCTCCTCCTCCTTCTTATAGATCAGTGGAGAAATGTCTGAGTCTCTTCCAAATGTTACCTCACTGTGGATTTAAAAAATGTTTCAGCCCTGCACAGTTCTTTTTATTCAGAAATATTCATAGGCATGTTTCAGGCCTCCATACAGAGACTGTGAAGGCCATTCCAAAACTTTAACCCTTCTTTTATACATGTACTTCATGGTTGATATAACAACTTCTTTTCAGCCCCATTGTTACTCGTCTTCTAAATCTTGGGACACACTGAAATATACTATTTGATCAGAGGACTTAAACTTTTTAGATACAACTGTTCTTCTAGTTCTTGATTAGGATGCTTAATATGCTTCATCTTTTTTTAGATTTAGTTTCAGCTCCTTCATTCATATCCAGTGCTTCTCTGCACTCTGCCCAAAAATCCTTTCAAAATCTAGACTCTTCGTGTTCTATCTGAATGTGTATAGTTTGAATCTAGTCCTGGTTTATTACATGTAGTCATAACCCAAGTCCAGACAAAACAAGATATAAAGCAATCAAGTTCATTTTCATAGAACTGATAACACTTTTTTCTTTTTAAACTCTGTTTTAATTTCTTTTTTTAAATTCCATTGATTCTAGTGAAATAATATTAATGAGAAGTTTCAGTGTGGCCTTTCTTCTGGCACAAATATAGTAGTCCTCAATTTACAAAAGTTCATTTTGTGGCCATCAAAGTTACAAAGGCACTGAAAAAAGTGACTTACGAACATTTTTCACAATTATAGTATTGCAATATCCCCATAGTTACATCGTTACATCAAAATTCAGACAGTCAGCAACTGACTCATATTTATTATGGTTGCAGTACCCCTGGGTCATGTGATCATCTTTTGTGACCTTCTGACAAGCAAAGTCAATGGAGAAGCCAGTTTCACTTAGCAACCATGTTACTAACTTAATAACTGCACAGATTCACTTAACAATTGTGGTAAGAAAGGTAGTAAAAATCACTTCACAATTGTCTTGCTTAGCAACATAAATTTGGGGCACAATTGTGATTGTAAGTTGAGGACTACCTATACAGCAACTGAGACTTTCATGAATGTGGTGGTAGGTCTTCCAGAGGCAGTCTTTTAGACTTTTTCACAAATCTTTCTCTACTAGCAAAGCTTTCCACAGCCTCTTTTCCACTTTAGAATATTAGCCTTATAAAATAATCCTTCTAATTTTTCATAAACATGACTTAATTTTTCCTAAGAATTGGCAATGTGTGGCTTTTCAGATATTACTAACATTTTAATCATCATGATGGCAATCCTTTAACATCTAGGCAGCCATATGTTGCCCACCTATTTTAAAAGTTTTTGAAAGAGAGGCTAACATTCTTAATGATTTGTTTATATGCACTCAATATATATATATATATAGAGAGAGAGAGAGAGAGAGTTGGTTTCACAAAATAAAATGCAACATGTACTTTTGCTCTCAGTTTTTTACCTTATGAATATTTGGAAAAAAAAAAAAATTTCCCCAAAGCCAAGCCAAAACATTCTGAGGTAGGACATCTAACTCTCCCTCCCTCTGAAAACAAGATTGGAAAAACTTCTAGCACAGCTTCCTGTGAAAGTAGGTCACTCTTTTCCCAGCTGTGACCTTGCCCTGTGCTGGAGAACAGGCGGACTCTACCCACCATCTGCGACCAGGACTTCTTCGGTCTCAACCTTCCATTTCATCTTTCCAGACTACTTTCCTTCTTCTTGCCATCTCTCTTAGTTTTCCATTTGGAATTTCACATGGATGCCATTGGCTCACTCCCAAACAATGTGCTATCCATGGACTCATCAGAAGACTACCCAAGAGCAAGAGTTGAGTGGGGACCTCCCTTAGCAACACAATGTTTTATTTCACTTCACCATTTCTTTCCCCGTAGGTATCAACCATCCCTTCTGTATTGTTGCTAATAAAAATGCATGATTGTGTTCATGAAGTCACCAAGAAGTGAAAAATATATTCAAAACTAAAACATCTAGGCTGATATTTATGCTTTGTCTATTTTCCCTTCCTGCCCCCATCAGCTTGTTTCATACACTACTGTTCTTGTGCTTTTGTTCTCAGTAGTAAGATACTTTCTTGTTCATTCTTAGGCTCTAGCAATGTCCATCCAGTTTATTCAGCAGTGGCAGCAGCCGCAGCATCAAGTAAGTACAAAGACAAGGGAATGGCTTTACTGAAACCACAGCCCTCTCAGGTGCACCTGAAAGCAAATATCAATAAAACCAGCTACCTATTTTAAATTGATTTCATTCAGTAGAGAAGAAAGTACTTAAATTTCAATTATATCTATAATATAGCAATAGCACTTAGACTTATATACCGCTTCATAGAGCTTTATAGCCCTCTCAATGCAGCTTACAGAGTCAGCTTACTGCCCCCAACAATCTGGGTCCTCATTTTACCGACCTCGGAGGAATGAAAGGATGAGTCAACCTTGAACCAGTCAGGCATTCTAACCACTGCACCACCACAGCTCTAGTTTAAAGGATTAATACAAGCATTTTCAACTCTCAAAGTGGTAAAAAAAATATTTTTACAAAGTTTGGGAAACTTCAAATAAAATATTCTATTTTAATTCCTATTTTAGGACAAGTTCAAACTGTACAAGGAAGAACTCAAAATCAAGGTATGTCCTAATTCAGTGGATTTTCTAATTAAGAGAATGTTAAGGTTTATTAATTAGCTGATCAGTAAAACATTTTAAGGATGGGGCTAGTAATCTTAAGATAGATAAAGCTTTTACTATTTTAAAAATTTTCTTAGAAAGAATTCATATTCCTAAAAGTAAAACTATCTCAATATACTTGCTTTTGAATAAGTTCCTTGTTAATACTTCCTAGTACATTTTCAAAATTATTTAATATGATTGAGCCAAATTTAAATAGCTTTATCTTAGTTGCTCTTTGTTAATTCAGAGGTAATTTTATAGCTATCCTCTAAGTATCCTCTGAAGTAATAATTGAAAATCTTACACTAATTAAACCTTAATTTGGTTTGAAGGGGAACCTATAATCAATTATGTCAACAAAGACAGAACCACACAATTTAGCAAACAAGCAATGAAAATAAATGAGGCATCCCTCTGTTTCTATCTACAGCTTTCCTACCCATTTTAATGTACTGCTTCAAATTTTTCAAAGTTATTAGGGCAAGTATCGTTGTATTAAAATTTAATACTTTCAAAAGAGAAGAAGATCCTCTACTACAGGAAAGCCACAAACTGTCTTTCCAAGTTCATGTTATAACTCCAAGGATTTTTGGGACAGCCAGAAATGACTCTCAAAATAAACTTAAGGCAGGGTTTATTTTACATGCTCTGTTATTTACATAATTTCAACAAAGTTGGTCTCATGTATTTCTTAAGATGTGTTATTTTTCCCATTAGTCTAAGATTAAATTGTGAGTTTGAATAATAATTATGTTTGTCTTTTGTCTATAACAGCTACTGAAACAGATGTATGGAAGTCTGGATCAAGCCTTTTGGACTCGGGTAAAAAATTTTCTCACAAAGTCTATTAAACAGCAACAATGTGCAATAAGTGTGTATATATCATGTGTGCAGGAAAACCAAGCATTTGTTTTTTGTTATGGTGAAGTTCCTTACATAGGACGATTTCATAAAATTCTTTTGAGTCTTGTGTCTCACTCTATTTCATAAAATATATATATGCAAATTAAGGCATATAAGCAAATATGTCAGATAATGTGAAATAGTAAGTTGAAGTGCTTTGGATTAGATTTATACTACACACTCTTATCAGCTGATCAACTTTCATTTATGGATCCCCACTGAAAAACTACTTTCAGGGTTCATTTGGCACACAGGCTGAATTCACCCAATTCACTCAGAGTGAAATGTGATGGTTCTAGCTTTTCTTCTTTCATAGATAGTTTCACATTACAAATTTATCACCTGATGTTGAAAACATACAAAGACAGTGCAAACAAACGAAAGTCTTGAATTTGTGTATGTGTTTGTGTGTTTGGTTTTTGGTGGTTTTGTTTGTTTTGGCCAAAGCATCCATTGATGTTCAGATCATTTAAAAAAGATTGTCAGTATTAGGAAATAAACTGTATATGCCGACAGATAGCTCGTGATGGATAGAAAGTGACACATTGCAAAAGAATTTCCATCTTAGATAGAGGGAGCTACCACGACGCAGGATTTCCAAGAGACCAGAATGCGATACAAAGTTGGCCCAGTGATTGTTTGATGCAAGCCAATTATCATTTCAAAGAGAATTATTTTTAGTTGGTATGAGACAACTGTTGTCTGAATAGAGATTTAATGAGCCTGGACAGCTGTGACGATCTGGTGGTGAAAAAGCTTAATTAGCTTGCCACAAAGTCCCACGTCAGTGAGCTGAGATTCTCAGGATTCGACAATGCCATTTTAAAGCAAGCCTGGGAACTTGCAGGCCTCCCTGGAAACAGCAACTTTTTCAATCAGCTCTGAGAACTGCATGTTGGGTGGCCTTCCTGCTCTGAGCGTTGCTGGCACTTAGGGGACGACTTTCCAGGCAACATTGGAAGCCCTGTCTGCGATTTGGTGAAGATGATAGAACTCCCTGAGGTGGCCAAATTGACCTTTCGATTAGACAAAAGACAATACAGTATCTGTGTTTAGTGCTGACTTGTGGAGGGTTTTTTTTTTTTTTAATAAAACAGGGAAAAAATGAATTAATGATTTTGACAATTAGACAGGGTAGATTATAGAAAGAAGAAACTCACATTGGGGCTTTAAAGAAAGAGGTAGATTTGTTATTTTAGTCATAGCTGCTCTAAAGAAGACAAGAAGTCATTCCTTTGTATCTTTTTTCTTTCTTTTCTATTTTTCTTCTACCTTTTTCTTTCCTTTTCTTGCACTTTAGCTTTCTCTTTTATTTCCTTCTCCCCCCCCTTCTTATTCTATTTTAGTTTGAATGAATTTTTGCTCTTGCTTTTAAAACTTTCCAAAAAATTACATTTTAGAAAAGAAAAATGGGTCTATGATAACGCGAGCGGAATTTTAACACGGTGAAAATAATGTTTAAAAAGACTCAACTCTCCATTAGAACTGCATAAGTCACCTGTGAATACAAGATATTCTGTGTTATCTGGGATTCAAAAAAGAATTGTGCTTTCCAATTTGCAGTGGCAAAGTGTGTCCCTCCCTCCCTCTTGATGGTCTTTTAAGCTCTTGGGATCTTCAGGCTTTTAGGCATAAACTCAGCACTTTAAAAGGGACCCAAGAGCTTGCAAACAGGCCAGCAAACAATGCAGCATTTTAAGGAATTAAATTGGTGGTGGTGTTCTGTGCCCAGTTGGGTTGCCAGTGTGTCTCCAGGGATAGCCTCATTCAGCAGGTGAAGAATGTAGAATTCCTCATTTGGCCCTGCATGTGCATTCAGAAGCAGTGTAGTTAGGACACATCTGAAGTCACTGAAATTTGAGCTTAAATTTCTAACATTTCACTTATATGGAAAAATGTAATGTGAGTAGTCCAAGACATGTGATTATTTTTTTGTTTAACAACAGTTTGAAGTTACAACACCCTCAGAAAAGTGACTTATAACCTGTCCTCAAAGTTATAACCATTGCATCATTCCCCATGGTCATGTGATTGCATTTTACGATGGTTGTGGTGTCTTTATGGTCATGTGATCCTGATTTGCAACCTGCCCAGCTGGCTTCCAACAAACAAAGGCAATGGGGGAAGCTGGTCTCCCTTAAAAACCGCATGACTCGCTTAAGAACTATAGATACTCACTTAGCAACTGTGGTAAAATGGTTGTAAAATTGGGTCCAATCATGTGACAATTCACTTAACAGCCACATTGCTTAGCAACTGAAAGTCTGATCCCAATTGTGATTGTAAGGCAAGGACTACCTGCACAGATAACTTTTTGTCTCTATCATGTTGAGACCCAGTTTCTTTGAAAGTGAGTGGTCAGATTGAATATAAAATAGGTTGAAAACACTGGACTGTACAGTTTTCTGAGCTCCCCAAGGCAATTGTACCAGTACACAACTGGACCTATGCTTTACTACCCAATTCTTCCATCTTCTTTGGACCCTGTTAGAAGTTCATTCTTGTCTAAAACATTTTCTCTTCCTATGCTAAATCAAGCATCTGAAGTCATCTCACAATTTCTTTGTTCAACATTCAATTAGCAGACTGTATTTAATGTGAATGTCTCCTCTTTCCTGACCTTCAAATTTAATAATGATATATAACATTGATCATTCTAGGTTTCAGCTCCAAGGAAGACATAGTCCCAAAGCCTTTGAAGCCAGTTTCCCAGGGAAATCCAAGTATGTGAATCACAAATGTATTCAGGTCCTTTCATAATCATCTGTTTTTAGCGGACAAAGAGAAGAACATTTTACTGACTTGGCATTTCATGAATGAAATCTGTTCCTTGGGTGGGGGAAGGGGCAATGGTGTCAAAGAGAAATCTAGCAGAATTACTAGTGGGGACAAATTAATTTCCATTCAGGTTTATTCAAATGTTGATCATTTATTAATAAATGCAGATTTTTTTCACTAGCTTGCAGCAATAACAACAAATGATAAAGGTACTATCTGTTAATAATCAATTTGGTAACTGTAAAAAGAGAGAGACAGAAGGAATGACTTTTTATCCAGAGTTATATTATGCAATACAATAAGATGAGTGTAAATACATGTATTTAAGATATTTATTTATTTTTTGTTCAGTCGTGACTCCATGGACAAGGCCCCCCATGTCCTCCACTGTCTCCCAGAGTTTGCCCAATTCATGTTCATTGCATTGATGACACTATCTGACCATCTCATCCTCCGCCATCCCCTTCTCCTTTTGCCTTCAATCTTCCCCAACATCAGGGTTTTTTCCAATGAGTCCTCTCTTCTCCTATTTCATATTTCTTAACTTTCCATCTTTCTCAGAGAAGGGCTTTGGGTGATGTACACAGCAATAAAACTGTTTTACATAGTTAAGCTATTCCTGGACCTAAGTTCAGTTTGTTTGTGGGTGAATTGAATGGCATGGGCAAGTAACCTCCATCTTTAGAAAGTCAGAAAAAGTAAGAAAAAAATCATAGCATTCTTTTTATTATGATAAATTAGTAGGAGTAAGTAAAATCTCACCTCCACAGCTCTATGGGGCTGGATGCAAATTAATTGTTCAATGAATAGGAAAACTTACTTTGTGGAAAGAGCTTAATCCAACAGAAGCAATATTGATCAGTTTCTCCTTTCCCCTGCAATCTTTGTTTTACTTCCCATGTTGTGTGAAAACTCAGAAGAACCTTCAGGGTCCATATGAGACCACAGGGATGAAGAAAAAAGCTTCTCCTTTTTCCCCTCTGAAAAAGAGTCAAACTAATAGTTCTCTAAGTGACTTTGGATCCAACTCTTGTTTGTTTCTGAATAAGCATTAATTACTTACATGTCTGTGATTATCCGTAATGTGCTTAAAAGATCTAGAACTCATTTGAAGCTTTTGTATGAAATTTGGCTGTTGGTCACAAAAAAATCACCAGGATATTCCTGATTAGAAGAGAGGCCATAAAAAGTTTATTTGGATGGCTGTTTATTGCTTTAATGTGTCCTGTGAAATCAGGGATTCCAAGCACTGCTTTGGGCAATCTGAACCTTCTGTTTTCTGTGAACACTTGCAAACATGACTATAACTACAAACAATGATCAGCAGAGCATTTGAGAGATAAATGAGGTGTTATGATCTTAACGTAGAACATACAATACAAATGGTCCCAAACTCTTCTAATATATTTTTTATGTATCTAATCTAATTTATTTTCCTAGATTGCAAAGTTGACTTAGCCTTCCTGATAGATGGGAGCTGGAGCATTGGCAGGCGCCGTTTTCAGATCCAGAAACAGTTCCTCAAAGATGTATCTCAAGCTTTGGATGTTGGTCCAATAGGGCCTCTCATGGGCATTGTTCAGTATGGGTAATAGTGCATTGTTTTTATAAAAAACTATGTATTTAAGAAGAAAATTAGATTTTAAAATGTGTATCATACACACACACACAATCATATACAAACAAACTTACACATACACACAAGCACCTACAGAAATAAATATCAATAAAATCCAAAGATATGTTAACTCCCTTTCTAAGTCCTATTTCATGAATTTTTATGGACTTAGGAGAGTATCTGACAGTTAGAACAATTAACCAGTAGAACAACCTGCCTCCAGAAGCGGTGAATGCTCCAACACTGGAGGTTTTTAAGAAGAGACTGGACAGCCATTTGTCCGAAATGGTATAGAGTTTTCTGCCTGAGCAGGGGGTTGGACTAGATGACCTCCAAGGTCCCTTCCAACTTTACTATTATTATTATTATAGATTGGCTAACACATAATAATAGAGCAGTGGTCAAGAATGGGGTGAGATGGACATTCATTTCTTCCATTGTGTATTAAATATTTTATTCTCAAAGTAGATGTAGTCTTCAGGAAGGCAAAAGCAAAAAAAAAGTGTCATAAATTAATATTCTGCCTCTGGCAGTAACCAAATATACCCAAGAGTTCCAGCAGAATTGCATAAAAGATATAGCAGAAAGGGCAACTTATACACACTCAGTATTTTTTTCTTCAAATGTTGCTGATTTGGGATAGCTTATTTTCAATTTATTTATGTTATATTTAATTTTATTTATATTACGAGTTTATTGGAAAAATAAATATGCATCATGTGGGGGGGGGGTGTCTGCATGGATACAAGCCAATTTCAAAACAGCTGGGATATCAGAATATATAAAAAAATAAATATAAAATTAAACGGGTCAGTCCCCATTTCTATCTAAAATACGTTTCAAAGATATAAGGGTTCTAAGCAGCGGGGAACAGAAGGAAGAGAAAAAAAGTCCGTGCATTCAGAGTTCAGAGGGAGTTCCATGCCAAATGGCGCACGAATCTCTTAGGGACGAAATATGGGTCATGCCTTGTTTTTAGAGTGTGTTTGTCTCAGGTGATAAGGGGTTCAGAAAGTTTAATTAGGTGCCTTGAGGAAGGACCATCTCAAGTTCCAACATGAAAAAAACAACAACAATAGCCTGCTAATAAACATATGTAAAATTAAGTAGGTACGCTTTTATTAAACCAAAGAGTTGATCTCCAGTGATTTGAAAGGATGAAGAAGATGGAATCGGCAGATGGAAGCAAACAGTAAATTAATAATTCAGTATGAATTGTTAAACAATTTGAACAATTTATTATTAACAATTTACCATTGCCATGAATTATTACTATTAATAATTCATAGCAAATTATTATTAATAATAATAATAGTAAAGAGTAAATTGTTTTTTAATTGTTCATTATTATACAGAAAGTTCTATTTTCTGCTTTTAAAAAAACCATCTCTGCAAATTACTCATACCCATGAAAATCTAATTGTTTAACTGGGAAAAGTAAAAACATAAAATTTCAACATTCAGGAACTATTTGTGCATATAATTCTTTGCTTGGAAAAAAAATTACCCGAAAATTGACCTTATTTACTTTCAGAAATGGGTTTTACATGACTTTTTTTCTCTTTGTTTTACAAACAGTGATGACCCTTCTACTGAATTTAACTTGAAGGCCTATTCAAATACCAAGGACTTAAAAAATGCCATTGAGAAAATATCCCAAAAAGGAGGCTTATCCAATGTTGGTAGGTAGTGGATATAATGTACCAAATCTGCTTAAGAATCAGATGCCAAGATTTGACGTTATTGTTTCACCTTCTGGAGAGATTCATAGCTCAAGATCATCACCTGCTTCATGTATTCTAGACTGTCTTTTCCGATTTGGGGGGAGGAAAGAGGTTCCCCAAAGCAACAGTGTTGAATTCTGAAAGAAAGAGCCAATGTAAAGATACATTCTACTCCACTCTATGAGGGAACTCATCGTGTTTTGGCATCACCATTTATTGGCTTCGGATTTCAAACAATAAGATGTTAGAACTGTACTGTGTTGCAGTGTCTAAAATTTATCATGCAGATATTGTGGAGCCCTTCATCTTGCCACAAATCCAAGTCATTTCTGTAGAATCAGAATGGATTAAGCTTATTAGATATGTATGTGAAGTTGATATACATCCTCAGTCTTAGACACATTTGGTTGAGAAAATTATTCGCATCATATGTTTTTAATGGATATGAATATTTCCATCACAATGTGGACAGAAGGTTAATTTCATTGTTGTTTCAGGATGAATGCTATTTCTATTCACATTTCAACCGGAGCATGTATTCCTATCAAAATCACAGTGCAGATAATTGCTTTATGTCTAATTAATCCTGACAATAAGAAGCTTCCTACTGATCTGCTGCATCTTGACACTGGCTTTAAGGTTGTGCTTTGGTTGGGTTTTGCTTCTGTCCTCTGTTTTATCATTTTTAATCTTAATAACATGCAATTCAATGCCAAATAAATAAATAGGAACTAGCTCTTTAAAGATTTATCAAACAAAGGAGCAACTCTTTCCCCTCTGCCATCCTCTCGCATAGGAAAAGCTTTGTCCTTTGTTAACAAAAACTACTTTGAAGATGCCACCGGCAACCGAGGAGGTGCCCCCAACGTGGCTGTAGTGTTGGTGGATGGATGGCCCACCGATAAGGTAGAAGAAGCCTCCAGGCTGGCACGGGAGTCTGGCATTAACATTTTCTTCGTCACCATTGAAGGACCCGATGAAAATGAAAAGAAGAATGTCGTTGAGACAAACTTTGTGGACAAGGTAAGAGGGAAGGAAACACTCAGGAAAGTGGCAGATTTTGGAGTGTGCATGTATTATTGTGGGAAGGTCTGGTCACTTTGCCACATGTGGCATAATCAGACAAAGTCTATAGTTGTTTGGCCAAAATAGCTACTTCACAGTCCCGGGACTCAGTCCTGCCAAGCATTGTGATTACGTAATGCACATTAAGATACCATACTTTTTTTAAATTTAAAAACCAAGCCAGTGAAAACTGTTCTTGAATAGTGGATACAGATAGTCCTCGGCTTACAATTGCAGCTTGGCTCAAAGCTTCCATTGCTAAGGAAGACAGCTGTTAAGTGGATTTTGCCCCATTTTAGACCCTTTAACAACTTGTCAGAGCTGTTAAACGAATCACTGCAGTTGTTAAGTTAGTAACAGGGTTGTTAAGTGAATCTGACTTCCCCATTGCCTTTGCTCGGCAGAAGGTTACAAAAGGTGATCACATGACCCTTGGACGCTGCAACCATCATAAATACTTGCCAGCTGCCAAGCATCCAAATTTTAATCATGTGACCAGGGAATGTTGCAACGGTTATAAGTGTGACAAATGGTCATAAGTCACTTTTTTCCGTGCCGTTGTAACAGTCACTAATGTATGGTCGTAAGTCAAGGACTATCTGTGTTTAAAAGAAAGTTGATTAAAAAGAGGACGATTGTGGACAACCCAATATTATGAAGTTAAGGGGCTTTTATCTTTTGTCTCTGCAACAGTTCTAACTGGATTCACTAGCCCCATACTACATATACCTATTATCAGGGCTTTTTTTTCTCATAGAATGCCCAGAACGGAGTTCCGGCACCTTTTTTGGATTGAACCTTGTAGGGTAGGCAAGGCGGATTGTATGACGTGTGTGAGTTCCGGCACCTTTTTTTTTTTTTACAAAAAAAAGCACTGCCTATTATTCACAACAAAGGAAAGTTTCCATTGGAATCAGAAGATTTTTCCCCTCTTATTGCAAAACAAAACAAAACTAGATACGGTGAAATTCTAGTATCATGCTCATTTTGACTGTTAACTTTGCTATAACAAAATGAAAAACAGTCCAGAGAGCTGTTGTACAATTCCAGCAGCAACACACTTTGCAATCGAAACTCTGGAGTTTAAGATTTTGCTTCGTGGACACTCTGTGCCATTGCCTTCAGGTGGATTTATTTATGAATTTATTGCAATACACATGAAAGTTCTGGATGTACCTTGGTTAGAACTTGTCCTCATAAGCTCTAGAGTTTAGACTGGATGCATTTTACAGAATGTCTTTTCAATTAAGCAGTATTCTTATGAGTTGGAATTCTTCCTAAAGGCTTGGCAAAGGAAGTCTCCTTCAGAAAGCAAAGCTGACTTTGGGAAATGCAAAAATAACATTTTCTTTCCTGGACACTCCTTCTGATCATTTTGTGCACTTTCCTTCATAGGTTTGCCATGAAACACATTTATTCTGAACTCTGAAGTCCTTCACATACTGTATTAAAGCTGGACAGGCTTCAGCCTACTGACTAATTTTGATTTTATTTAAGTTTGCTAGGGCAGAGCTACAATGAGCCCCTTTGAGACATGAAAGAAGCACAAATTTGTATGCACCAATTTATGGTTGCTGCATCCTAAAAAATAAAGAACTGCATGAATCTGTAATCCAGTCATATGATAGAACAAAGTTTATTTGTTTGTTTGTTTGTTTGTTTGTTTGTTTGTTTAATCTATTTATAAGTCACCCATCTCAAGGAGTGACAAAATTCTGATTTTGCAGGACTAAAACTGGTCTTGTATATAAAAAAAAATCAAAGACCTTCAGATGTATTGGACTTCAACCCTCAAAATTTCCCACCCTTTGTGTACATTGGCCATACTGGCTGGAAACTGTGTGAAAGAATTGAAATAGAGTTCAAGACAGTAGCAATAGCAATAACACTTAGACTTATATACCACTCTGTAGTACTTTACAGCACTTATATATCACTCCATAGTATTTTACCGCACTCACTGAGAGGTTTACAAATGTAGGATATCGCCCTATCAGTCTGGGTCCTCTTGCTTGCAGAAAGCTGTTTTAAAAGTGTAATGCTAAGCTTTCAGATCTTAAAACACTGATGGAGACCAGCTACACACAGGAATAACTCCAGATCAGTAATATTACAAGATTAAACCTATATATCTAGAAATGTATACATTTATTTTCTGCCAATTAAACAGAAAGAAACCAGGGTGTCTGGTACAGTAATTTTTGAAACTCTCATCTCTATCATTTAGGCTGTATGCAGGACCAATGGATACTATTCTATTCATGTCACCAGTTGGTTTACCTTGTACAAAGTTGTGCAGCCTTTAGTGAAACGAGTCTGTGATGTTGACCGTCTGGCTTGCAGCAAAACCTGCCTAAATGCAGCTGACATTGGGTTTGTCATTGATGGATCTAGCAGCGTTGGCACAGGTAATTTCCGCACCATTCTGCAATTTGTAGCCAATATTAGCAAAGAGTTTGAGATTTCTGATACAGATACCCGGATTGGAGCTGTGCAGTACACTTATGAACAAAGGCTGGAGTTTGACTTTAACAAGCACAACACTAAGCAGGAGGTGCTGAATGCTATCAAAAGAATCAACTATTGGAGTGGAGGAACCAGCACTGGAGCGGCCATTAACTTTGCCTTTGAGCAGCTCTTCAGCAAATCCAAACCCAACAAGCGGAAAATCATGATTTTAATTACAGATGGCAGATCGTACGATGATGTCAGGGGACCAGCTTTAGCAGCACACCAAAATGGTAATCCCCCATTGTTATATTTTCGTTTCAAAACAAAAAAAGGTTTAGCCAGGTCTAGCTATGGGCAGGGCTGTTGATTTGAAGAGGGCATTTAAATTAGGTGATCCAGAAGTCCAAGTTAAGATTAAGCTTACTATTCCCAATTCCCCACAACCCATAATTGACAGATCATTCTTGGATTGTATTAGGACCAAGTTTATTTGAGTTAGGTGGACTTGCTGAAAGGCATGGCTGGCCTGGAATATCTTGTGCTGTATTTAGTACATATATTGTCATCTCCTTAAAGAAACTGCTGACATAGTAACTGGGCAATCATAGGGGGGAAAAACATTTAGATGAAGGAAGTGTCCAAGAAAAGACATCACTTCTTTTGGAAAGTGCTGAACTGGGAGCAGGTCAATTCTGGATCGAAAGCGCAGCACAATTTACTAAGCATATGTTACAGTGGGTGGGAAATTGCTCTTCTGTTACACCACATTCAAGTTTCTTTATTCTCCTTTTTGTGCTTTCACTGTTTTCTCAATTAACAGAAAATTCAGTATGGGGTCCTGTCTACTTGAAAACCTTTAGAAAAATAATAATACCACAATTGTAAAATAATGGGGACTTTCATTACTCCTTTTGAACAGGCATACGTCTTTTCTTTTTTCATATTCTATCTGGACTATTATGAAGATGTATATGAATTTAGCATATATTAAAAAATGGCATTGATCCATTATAGTCTATTTTTCCCCCCTGCAGGTGTAATAGCCTACTCAATAGGAATCGCATGGGCTGCCCAAGATGAACTGGAAGCTGTGGCAACTGACCCTGATAAGGAACATTCATTCTTTGTGGATGAATTTGATAGACTCTATAGATTTGTTCCTAAGATCATTCAGAACATTTGTACAGAGTTCAATTCACAGCCACGGAACTGATTGCATCCAGCTACAAGGGTTGCATCACTGAAATTGCATCTGATTAATCAGGCAATGCTAGATGAGAAGTTTTTACCTAAAGGATAATTTCAGATCTGCTCTCCAGGCATAAACATAATAGAAGCTGTAGAGTAATGTTTCCCCTCTCCCCCCCCCCCACGCACCTCTCCTTACTGGTTTCCAACCTGATCTGATAACAACTTGGCCAATAGCCTTTGACTTATTTAAAATTATCATTTGGAGTCAACGAATTTAACTTCTCCGTATAAGAGGCAGGGGATATTTCTGAGCCATCTATATGTTAATGATAGCATTTCTTTGCAAGGGTGGTGGAGAAGGCAAAAAAACAGGCTGACTTATCACAATCAATCAATCAATCAATCAATCAATCAAAACAGAGCTGGAAGGGACCTTGGAGTTCTTCTAGTCCAATTGTCTTCCCTGTTAGGAAGTTTTGCCTTAGTTCTAGTTTGCTTCTCACATTGATTAGTTTCCATCCATTAGTTTCAAATATTGTAAAACAGTTTGGACCCTAACCTTTAATTACAGATGTTGGCATTCATGTAATTGATAAGAAGCAAACAAGACACTAGTTAAATATAGGCAATGTGATTTTAAAAACATGTATCTATGGCCTGCTTACCACATAGTGGAGGAATAGTTTTCAGCACATTGTATTTTGCCTTTACTTACATTTAATGTGCTTCAACTGTATATCAGACTGTAACATGAACCCAAACTTTGGGGCAGGCAGATGATAGATAGATAGACAGACAGACAGACAGACAGACAGACAGACAGACAGACAAAGTTCATCATTGTTGTCCTTATTACGTTCATGAAGATAGCATAGCCAGAATTTTCCACTCATTGTCATATAAGTAAGGAGAGTATCCTGCTGATTAATCTTGACAACTGTTACAAACATGGTACATCCAATCAATCATAAGTCTCATTGGGAATAATTTTTCCTGTAAAAATTAAAACCCTCAGTAAATGACTATTGGAATTTGAATTCTAAAACATAATAATATTTATAATAGCTTTTTCATCCTTAGTAGACTAAATAGTAGTTGAGCCCTAATAGCGGTTTCCTGTTACTTAACTAGGGTTTTCATACAGAGACAGAAGTCTCTAAAAGTAGCTTGAAAGTGAAAATACTCTACATCAGGGGTGTCAAACTGCTAGCCCACAGGCCGGATGCTTCATGCCGAAACCGCACCCACCCTTGCTCCAGTAATGGGGAAAAAGTTGGGATACGTCGCGACATGTCATGTGACGTGGCAAGTTTGACACCCCTGCTCTCTCTATATATATATTGGCTGAACCATTCTAATCCACATGCTTCTTGACATTACAAAGAGTGAGATATCCAAAAGTAGACTGATTCTATTTCAGGAAAGACTCTATATACTTATATTCATATTTATTTTTTTCCAATTTACAAAAACAGACATTAATTGTAATTTTGTATTTCTTAGGGTGTTCTTTTTTTAAAAAAAACTGGGCACTTTCTACATCCCCGTACAATTATTATGCTACATTAGTTTTGGTGGGAAAGCCAACAATTTCATAATAAATATACAATGGAGGATTACTTGAGCGCTTCTTAGTGTGTAACTCAGTAGTTCTTATGTCAGCTTACTTTACTTCATTTCTTCAAACTGTCTTCTGAAATGTTTTAGCCCACTACCTTTATTTTGCTTCCCTTAGTGAAGGCAAGGGCAAAGAGTACATTCGGCTGAGTATTGAAGAAACTTGGTACTTTTTGTGAATGAAACATGAATTTGTGAATTTCAATTCCATGCCTTCTCTCTATGCAAATGTATATCCAAAAGAGAGTAAAGCTCCATGTTCTGTCTTATGATAGCTTGTTGTTAAGTTGTGGCACTTATGAAAAAGCAAAAAAAAAAAAATAGTGTTTAATCTGTAAGAAACTTCAGGAGTATCCAGAAGAGGCTGTTATATGCCCTCTGCCTTGTTCACATTTTTTTTTCAAGGAGACAAATTAAAAAAAAATGTTTCCTTGCACGCGTGAACAGATTCCCAGGCTTCTTATGAATTACTCTTATATAGCATAAGATTATTTGTCCGTGGAGTTTTCAACGTGGAAACCATCTGAGTTATGCATCCTCTACAAAGGAACATTTTAGTGGCTAATTCTTAAATGGGTATCACTACTGTTCTGATGAATTCTGAATAATCAGAATTCTGTTTCAGGCTAACAATCCAAATGTGGGATGAGACTAGTGATAAAACAAATCAATACTGCATTGTATGGCAACTACATATTCTCAAGAATGCTAGAATTCAATTGCAGCATATTTCCAGGGCTATCTTTTTAATTATAACGTGAAGATTAGAGTATCTTAAACATATCTGAAGTGACTCTAAACAGTCATTATCAAATTACAGCATTTATAGGTCCACCACACAACAGATTAGAAGAAATGCTTCTACATCAAAGGGTTCATTTTAAAAGACTTTGCCAATCAGAAGTCAGGACACCCGGCTATAAAAACAGGAGCCTAATCAGGCTCAGCTCAGTTGCCTGTGCCCTGTGTAGCAGTCCAAAATGCATTTTAAAATGAACGCCAGCTATAGCTGCTGGTGAAAAGTCAGTAAATCTGTTGCAGTCACTAAACCCTGAAGCACACTGCCCAACCCATATTCAGCAATGAAAATCTACACCAGTATGTTATTGAACTGAATTGAATTGAACTGAACTGAATTGAGCTGAATTAAACTTTATCTGGCCAAGTGTGATTTGACACACAAGGAATTTGTCTCTGGTACAGAAGCACTTGGTGTAAATGTGTATTGATCATCACGTTGCTTTTCCTAGATATTATGTACTATGTATTCTTGAAATTATAGACTCCGGCTAACTTGGAGGTACGTCATTGCAGACAGAAACTTAGCATTTCCATATAGGAACTCAAGAGTTTTCATTAGTACGGGGCCATTAGCTACATATTAGACATAGCAATATTATGCAGGAGTTCCCACACAGACTTATAGGTCAGTCATTCTCAGTCCATGATTAGAAAAACTCAAAAATATCTACATATCAACCTCAGCAATTTTAAGATGTGTGGACTTCAACTCGCAGAATTGGCTGGGCTTCAAACAAATATCTATCTTCTCAGGCCTTGTTTTGCTTAACAAAGACCCTAAAACAATAAATTTGGGAGAACTCAACAACTTAATTCTTTCTAAGACTGACCCCTATTGAGGTTTGATTTTTATTCAGTGGCAGCAATCAAAGATTATAAGCATAACACACTGTATTTCTATGGGGCAAAAAACAGTTTATAAAGATTTTTTTTTTATCTTTCTATTCCAAGCCTTATATTTTCAGTGGTTTCTCCAACTTGTAACATCCATACATTCTTGTACATGTACAAAACGCAAAGATACAAAGGTGTTGAAAAATAGTATTTATTAGCACCCAATTTACATAAATATATATTACAAAGGACATTTATTTGTTGCTGCAATGTTTAGTAAAGCTGCTCTGTATAGTGTTACTACAGAAAGGTCCATTAGATTTTATTCAACAGAGAATGCAAGTACTATACAAAACAATCACACTTTATTAGCAACTACCCAGAGTTACTACCTTCATCACCACATCACTTTTACCTCATATTTAATTGCAATAACAGAAGATTACAAGAAAATTTTCTTGGCAGACAGATTTACTCAAGATGCTTCACAAAGTTTGTGCCATTTGCTCTTTAAAAGTTTATTTTTAAGAATTTTAAAAAATACTAATTCTCAATTGGCATGCTCCACTTTTTGCACCCTTATCAGATTTTAACCAAATGGCAAACTATATTGAAAACTTTAAAGTGCACATTCATAACAATTATGAATAACTCCTGGACTAAAACTGACAGATATTGAGTAATATTCATTGAAGAAATATTTATTATAAATATCCCTAAAATCTAGCATCACCACCATTTTCTTTGTTGATGCAATATTTCCTAATATGATGAAACTGAAACCTAACTGATTTATTTTAATCAAAATGTAGGAAAACTGGTACTACAAAGCATTATTAAAACTATTTCCAGTATTAAAAAAAAATTGCAAATTCTATATATATTTCCCTGGGAGTAAGTCCTATTGATCATAGAGGACATACTTCTAAGTAAACATATACAGGAAAATAGGAGGAATTATAAAAGCCATTTTTGATAAAGAAAAAAACCCCACAACTTTATGTCAAATCAAAGAGTAGTTCGTTACTTCTTTCTCTTGATCCAAGCCAATATTAAGGTTTGTATCTATGATAAATACAGTGATCACATGGACTATGTAGTTCCTTGTACATATTTATTGAAGCAGTCTATGGCGATTACTGTTATCATGCTAAATGCAGAAGGATTATTACTCTTTTTCAGGAATTTCATTTATATTTTGGGAAATGACTTCATTTCAGTTTAGTTGTAGTATAAAACACAAGAAACAAATCACAGTTTTCTGGTAAAGAATGAAAATCACTTCGGGTACTACCAAGACTGTTACCGGCTATCTCTAAGTAAGAGTTTTAAATCCAGAAACTCAAAGAATTCAAATTAATCATAACATTAAAAATATTTTTTCTAAATTCTCTGAAATAAAATATGGCAAAAAGAACATAACCTATTGCCATTCTGTTAATGCTTAATGAAGAGTAATGTACTAAAATATAACTTTAGGTATGCACAAAAATTGTTCTGCACATGCAAAATCCAAATCTGTCCATTGTCCAGGAGGGCAGTTAGTGAAATGTCAACTAATATACTAGAAGAAATAAAATCTACCCATCCAACTACAACCAAGCTGCACTTTTGTACTTTCCAAGCACTTTAAACAATTGGTTTAATATGAAGAGCAATAGGATAAATATATACTGGTACCTGTAAATCACATATATTACTATGAAACATGGTTATCATTGTGTGTTTTCAATTCGTTGATTTACAGTACAGGGTTTCAGTTAGCATGCAGTTAACGGTTTTGTTTTTCTTTTTCTTTTGGCTTTAAACAACAAATGGAGGCTTACATTTTCTCCCTCTGGTTTGAAAAGGAAAGATAACAAGAAGGGGAAAGAATGTGCTCTTAAAATAAATTATGGAGGGTCCAAGGGCAGCACTAGTTCACACATTTCTTCCTGTTCTTCATGAATCAATAGCTATAGCTTCAGATGACAAGCAAATGCTTAGCATTTTCTCCCTGGTTAGCTGCATGGGCAAAACATTTAAATAATTAGACATGATTTCAACTACAGTATGTTAAGGGAAGGCAACTGATGTGATGAACTTAATTTGAATAGCATAAAGAAAAGATACACATTGAACATTAATCAAGCTGATCTAAAAATGGGTATGAATGCATAACAGAAATGCAATCCAAGATTGGAAGATAAATGAAACAGCTTATCAATTAAAAAGGGTCTTTTTCAACTGCAACAGAATATATCTGTATTTAGTACAATGCAGATTGTAATATGCAATTTGAAAGACAAACACAGAATCTGCAACAGAGACCGCAACCTCATTGTTGGCTCAATGGCACCTCAAACCTCTGGCTATTCATTCGTCTGTTTTAAAAGTCACTTTTCTTTTATCAAAAATTCACTAAGCAGGATGGCACATCCTTCTATCAATATTTGAACAGGAACATTTGTTACATTCATAATTTAATCAAACATGCTGACCTATTAGTGATATGTACAGCAATTTAAACATCAGCAATTTTGTATTATGTTGCATTAAGCAAAAAGCACAATGCTATTTATTGTTTATCCTTTGCATTAAGTCTCAAGAACTTTCAGTACTAAAACATTGAAATTATCCATAGAATTTTCCCTTACTTATAATATATACTGTTTACAATCTCTGTCATATATTTATATATATATAAATATATATATATATACACACATACACAAAATATACACAGCTTAACATTTGTAATATCCTTTTTTAAAAAAAAGGATATCAAGCTAGTAAAGGGAAATACACAGAAGTCACACATAGATTAATGTGTTTTGTGCAGTTGGATTTTCTGCTTGGACACAAAATCACAAAAATAATGAATGTGTAACAGCTATTACTATTTAATCAGTTTTTGTAGGAGAGGAAACAACTATAAACAGGTTTGATGCTTTTGTAGCAAACCTACAAAAAATAACCGTTAACGGTACCACAACATAATAGCCAAAGATGGCCAATCTTTTTAAGTTTCAAGTACTTTCAAAAACCAAATCCAGTCACATATTCCCAACACAAGACTGCTATATAAAGCCATGACTATTGTGGGCAGAAGGGGAGATAATAATGAGTCTACCTTTGGATACTTGCAGTTTGCATTGGCATAAGCCCTCCCACAGTTATGGCACACATTGTGGAATCACTGGAAGGGGTCAGGAAACCATTGTTATTTCATACAGATTTTGTCCATGGTAAATAGAAGTCAATCACCTCACATATCCCAAACAGTACTGCTCTTGTGTGGTTTATTAGGCTCTGATGCAGTACAGTTTATAAAGCAGGAGAAGAGCATATGTATGTTTTCCAAACCAATAAGCACCCCAGTGAAATAATTTAGAAATTACATTTGTTGGGTAGTTGGAAAGATACGTAATATCCCTTAGCTCTACAATGAATAGTCATTAGCATCTGAAATTAATCAGATCCTTATTGTAAACATATGCCCGATCATCTCAGATGAAGTTATATTAAAGGCTATGCTGTGGTTCCAGCCACCCGTTAACATTCATTTCCAACAATAGAATTTACATTTATGAGCCTTTTACATATCTTCTTTTAACCTGAATTTAGAAAATATGTTATCACATTCATATTTTTAAATAGTCAATATTTTAAATCCAATCTGTCTATTATAAGACTCTACAGGCTGAGATTCTGTGACTCATTTAACCATTCAGTGCTAGAAAAGGAGACAATGAATTAACCGTCTCAAGGATCTGAATTGCATGGATTTCCAATAGGGGGAACATTCTAACTTAAGGTTTTTTTGCTACCTTCACCAACTTGTTGTCTTTTAGAAGTGCTGGCTGGAAGCTCTTAAGAGTTGCAGCCTCAACACTTTTGCAGTACACCAGGTTGGAAGAAGCTTATCCGCTAATACCCAAGCAAGCTGTTAGCCTTTGTGTTGATTTCTGCATTGCATAAATTGAGAAAGCATCTCATTTTGCCCAAGGCCAGCCTAGACAAAAAAGGACACTTTCAAAATTAAAATGGTTCTTCCATAGATCTCTTGAAATAGGGAGTTTCCTAGCTCTCACGACTGAGATCATATAATCTGAAGCAATTGCTAACATTCACGGAATTAACGGTTACAAGAAGGTTCTTGCTCTTCTCTTTTGTACAGCTTATTTTATAGATATAGACATATATATTTATAGATATGTACAAGGCAACTAGAAGGCTAGGGAAGTGTTGCATCATACAAAGACTTTGGCAAGTGCATCTGCTCCTGCACTGGCAATATAACATTTGGTGGGATGGAATGCCACATCATGAATGGATTCATCGTGTTTTTTGCGATGAGCTGTAAATTCCTGAATGCAGGTTTTGCTTTCAAGGTTCCATAAGCGTATAGAACAATCGTGGCCTAAAGGAGAAAAATATTTTCTTAGTTTTGTGACCAATCCAACTGTGAGCAAGACATTTTTAAAAACATAAAATATACTTACTGCCGGACATCAGATACAAGCCATTCGGATCGACAGCTAAACTTGTGACTGCATCCAAGTGGGCTACCATAGAGTGGATCAGTTTCCCTTTGCAGTTAAATATACAAATATATTAGAACTTGTAATAAGTTTAAGATATTGCAGAAAGTTAGAAATATAGAATGACATGTACTCATGTACATCTATACTGTACCATGCATCGGCATAAAGCAGAAAATCTGATTCTTAACATACTCTAGTCTCTGCTGAATAATCATCTAATCATATAATAATCATCTAATCAAATAATCATCTAATGATGTACTGTACTTGTGTCACCTTCATTGTATAATACGCTTCTCAAAACTTATACTTGATCACAGCACACCACATCTTTATTAGCTTCCAAAGGAATAGATAAGCATCCCCTTTGCAACACCCCTGCATTTCCCAAAGATATGAGATGTATCTTTACAAAGCCTGAACTCTTACTTAGCTTTGAAGGAAGAACCTGTAAACATATTTGCAATATGTTGCTATGTTGCTTGCACAAACTTTTAATCAGCTTCTTTGCTAAGTTAAGTGGTTAATTCTTAAACTGAAATGTATTCATTAAAACTGAGTCCTGATTGCATTACACGTTTCTTCCTTTGGGCATATACATAACACTACAAGCATTTTAAGGGATATGATTTACAAATTTACTTCCATTACATTATGAGCAAAAACAGTCTAAAAATCTTTTCTGGTAGATTTTCACAAGTTTATACTAAGAACAAAAAACTTCCACAGATTTTAACAGCAATCTCATTTTGCGCTATGTAGAAAACACATTAATATAAATTATTTCTCCAGGTCTCTTAAATAACTATGAAGAGATTATACCAATGGTACATATCAGAGATTTCTACCATAAATGCAATGTTTTACCAACTTAATTCTATATGCTGCATTGCTCAGCCAACAAGTCTTTATTCTTACAATCGTTTTTGTCTGTCAGAGGTTATAACTGGATACTGATCTTGAAATATTCACCACTTAATAAAGTTATTTTCAAATGGTAAGTGATCCCATAGTATTTTGGGGTTTTATGATATGTTACACAGAGAAACAGGCAACTTACCTGTGTTATTGTCATAGAATTTAATGTGCCTGTCCTCGTGGGCTGTGATGCTTATTGGAAGAGTTGGATGGCTGATTACTTTATTTATTTGGCAAGAAGTGTTAACTGCTGTTGACAGAAAGCATATATACAAACAAAATCAACTTCAAAAAATATTCAAGTCACATAAAATTCTGAAATACTACTGATCTAATCTAGTAGGCCATTCTGATGAAAGAATATTTTTAGGACCCAAACAATTATATTCACATCATTTAAACCAGCTTTATGTTACTAGGCCCACTAAACATAGTGGATTCCTATATAAGGCACACAAAAGAAGAACAAATGGAAGACCATATGATTAAACAGATTAAGAACTTTGGACACCATATAATGATAGAACATAGGAACATATGTGGTTAAAGAGATTCAAATTTGCATTATGTTATAACCTAAAGGACAAAATTTGATAAAATTATGTAGCACTGATATATGACTATAGAAAAATGGTCTAGAACAGGCATGTCAAACTCGTGACGTCACGTGACATCGTGCGATGTATCAGGACTTTTTCCCCATGGCCGGCAATAAGGTGGCCGTGGTTTTGGCTTGACGCATCCGGCCTGTGGGCCAGTAGTTTGACATTTCTGGTCTACAATATATAAACATACTTCAAATCTATACTGCAAAAATGGACAATATGAAGGGTCATTTTATCATTCCTGGTGGACTTGTAAAAAAGCCAAAATTTCTGGGCTGAAAAATATATAATGATACAAACAATTTTAAAGATCAACATTTATCTGAAACCAGAAATTTTCTTGCTGAGATTAATAGTTTAATAATAGATTAATAATTTGTTTGATTAGAGAAAGATCAACAACTACATTTGTTAGGGACTGGAAACCCTTTATGGAATTTTTGCTTAAAAAGCTACTTCTTTACTAATTTTCCTTCTTTTATTTTCTATTTCTTGGTAGCAATTTTTGTTAAGGGCTCTTCAAGAAGTTCCCTTTAAAAGATTTTTTTGGGGGGTGGGCTTAATCTACTTGGGTTGCCCAATTCCATCGTCCTTCCTTCTATGCCTCCAAATCAAAACAAATTCTCTTCTTCATTCATTCCATTTGGTTTTTAACGCTTCGTTACCATTTTCTCCATTATGCTTAGACAATTAGACAGACATATAGACATACTGCATCAACTTTATTTTGAAGATTTTCAACAAATTAAAGTGTCCTAAAAATAATGAAAATGATGCTACAAATATCCTCTCCCCACTACCCCTTGTTGCAATATTTAATACATACTAGTATCTATATTGGACTCCAAGGTAAGAATGCGTTGTTTTGTTTCCATGTTAAAAATGCTTGTATATCCAGTGTTAAATGATGCTACCATAAGGCTTGGGTCACTGCTCACTAGATCCACAGATGATGGAATTCCCATTTCTACAAAAATAATGTCCAGAGTACAAAACAAGTTTAAACAATTACTGTGAAGTTATAACTTGAAAAAGCTATATTTATTTTAGCATGAGTATTCAAGTAACAATAATGTAAACATTACTCGAGAAGATAACATACACAAGAAATAACGGTTTTTTGACTGCACAATAAACCATTTTTGAAGTGTTGGAATAGGAGAAATCTATCTCAACAGTGAACCACCAAAATCTTAAATAAATGTTTATATATCTAACTCTCTATAATTCAAGATTTACCAAAACCAGAATAACATCAGAACAAAAAAGCATAAAAAATACTCAATGAAAAGTTAGGTGGAATCAGCATAAAAATGAATCTAGCTATGCCACTCTTTCTTTAAGGAGAATCCCACCCAAAGCTAAAATGATAACACGGTTATAGGGAAGAGAACACACGTTGCACAAAATTGGATAAAAATATATTATTGGAAAATTTGGAATAACCAGAGTAATATTTCTTTAAAATGAATAAATGTTGCTTTAAAATGAATTAACGTTGCTTTCATTACTATTATGAGTATTCCAATGATGAAGCCATCCACGAAAGTCTCAAATTATATTTATTCCAGAGAATGATAGAACTATCTTAAGGCGAGTATTTGAATACTGCTCATTTAGAAAGTATCAATAATTTCTTTCTCCAGCAACGACTACACTTCTCTGCCATATACTACAAAAGCACACACTTTCTCCAGTTTGGAGTCTTATACTATATTATGATAGGAACATATTATCTTCTCATCAAATACAAGGCTTCCTCTTGCTTTCCTGTGAGCAAACCCATGCAGAAAGAGTTTCTTTTTCTTTCTTCTCTCTCACAGTGTCCACCCACCTTAAACCATGCATCCAAATTCTATGGAGTAATGATTGGGTGAATGGCAGAGGGAGAATTCTATCCACTAGGGGTACTCATTCCTATGACTAGCAAAATCTATAGTTGAATATAATCTACAAATTACTATTATATTTCAATTTCCAGTTGTATATAGAAAATTAAAAACCATCTCTAAGATTTTTTTTTTAAAAAAAGAGGGAATGTTCTCTAGTAGTAATTCCTTTTAAAAATAATTGATCTTATTCAAACACACATTCAAAACAGGCCAATAGTTTTTATTCTGATCATTAACAAGGATAAACAAATAATGAAATATAATAAAACTATACTATAATACTATATACAGCAATAATATAGTATACATGTTCCCCAATGCAACTTCAATGCAATGATGCTGGGAATCCATCGCTACTATATAATGGAATGGTAAAGTTAATCCATTCTATTAAACTGTATAATCTAATCTCATATATTTCAGAAACAAATTCAATGCACTCTAAGAAACAGAAGATCGCACAATACCTTGATTATCATTAAATATATTCAAAGCAGGAGAGATCTCCAAAGCCTTCCATAAACGTATGGTGCCATCTGCTGAACAGGAGAGCAAACGCTGGTGTGTTCCACTGTAAACCAAACCCCAGACGGCATCTGAGTGGCCTACAAGTGCACCTCTTAAGATGGAAGGATCTGAGGACAAAACCATATATTTCAAGATGACAGTTCTTAAGAAATATTTTCAATGAGTTCATAGGCTTCACTAAACTAAAATATCAGTATCTTTTTAAAAGAACCTTATTTTTTTATACCAATTGGTCCTTCTAATCAAGAGATTATGAGTTTATTCTAAATTTATATAGGATTATTTTATAACCAATTGAGGGTTGCTCCTGAGATGTCGTCTATCATATAATCTGTTTCCTAGGTTT